ACAAACTACACACACACACGTCAGTTGCTGTGTGTATGAGAAAGATTGTGATGTATTCAGAGTGCGAAAGATTACAGGAGTCAACGTGAAAACTGAAGGGTGAAAAGTGGAATTGTCGCTGTGATGTGCAGTAAATTCGTGGTGATTTTTTTGTGTGTGAGACGGCGCGACAATTAATGAGCTGTTTCTGCTAGCGAAGAGAGAGAGAGAAAGAAAGAAAGACTGTCAAGGTGGAGGTATGGGCAGAGATAACAAATATGTGTAAATAAAGGAGCGTTACGGACAATGAACGACTTGAAGCAACGATTGAGAGAAAATGAGTGGAAAGATGGTGTGCGAAATGTGGGGAAGGTGGACAGCTCTTGATAAAGATAAAATGGATTAAATGGGGAGGAAAAGCAGAGGAAGGGGAAATGGAGAGAAAGCAAACATGAGCGAAATAGTGAGAAAGCAAGAGAGGCGGGGGATAAAGTGCGAGAGGTGGAAGAGAAACCTTGAGTGAAACGTTGGACGAGTGCAGGAAAGCAAAGAGAAAGTGCGCCCTAGCTCCACTCTGTGCCCCCTGCACTCTGACCCGATTACTATAGCAGCATATTTTCTCGCTTGTAACTCGGAAAAATGTCTGATTGCCAAGTCAGATTATTGTAAGGAAATCAAGCAAGGTGATGGGGTGTAGTGAGGGGGTGAGGGGAGGGCCGGTCTGTGTGCGTAGGGTGAGGGGGTGGGGGGAGCAAAGTTGGCACGGGCAGGAGTGGGAAAACACAAGAATACAGCCAGGGACAGAGCAACGTTCAATTCTGACAGTGAATTCTACAAGCCTAGCAAACACAGCTTCTCACGTTAGCTGCTTTCCTCTCAACTAGACATTCCCACACTCAAAACAATGTTTCCAGTGCGTTTTGATTTCATTGAGCCTCACGCCACAGCAACATCTACACAGTTCGGTTTATTCTCTGTCAGGCGTAGTAAAATCATGATTACCCTATCAACGAGGATTGACTGTGTCAAGAAAATTAATATGCTTTTAAACCTGTATAGGACGCGTTAAAAGTTCACAAATAAAACTCAAACGCAGACAAATATGAGGAAGCGTTCGCAGCTAATTGAGTATAAAATGTCTGTGTAGATGACGAGATGTAACATTTGAATACTGGACTTTTTAAAAAAAATTACATTAATTGAAATGACTATGCAGCAATAATTCTCCTAATCTAATATCCTCTTGAACTCCAGAAACAAACATTTATATGGCATTAATCTCCTCCATGTGTAAATAAAAACCTGTTTTACTGAGTGACGGGATTGAGTTGTCATCTTGTGAGGACACAAACAAAAAGGTTCCCCATGAATTCGGACATTGTCATCACTTCGAAGGTCGGGAGGGTGGAAATAAAGTTTTCGACAACTTTTATTGAAACCGTCAATTTTCACATTGATCAGATGTGCTATTCCAATTTCCCTTAATTATCGAGAACTGTTGTTTTCCCAGCTCCCATTCTGTTTTGTCAGTTTCTCTTATTGTGACAAACAACTCGATTTCAAGTTAAGAGCATTCTAATCATTAGCTCCCTCCCCTGTATGTGAAATCTGTCCTGTCCGCATTGATTCGGGCCCTACAGCCCCCGGGTGCAGTAATTGCTTTATTGGAAACCCATTACCGTGGCCACTTTCCCCCGTGCAGCAGTTAAACATCCAAATCTTTCACAACTTCTTTGTTTACTGTTTCAATTACTTGGTTTTAATAGACAATCCATTATCTTCTAAACATCGAATCATAAAACGCTGGCAATTAGCACTTCCATCTGCTATTTAAAAATCCCCACATCTGATGGAAGAAATTTACAAGGGTCCGCTTGGTGCAGAACAGTCCTGATTCTTACTGAATTTGCAATCCAATCTATAATAAGCCATTGGCACGTTGTAATTACAACACCTAAGATATTTGTTTCACTCGGGCCTTTAAATCTGCACAAATACCTTCAGAGATTTGATAGATTAACGCTGATCCCAGTTTTAAATTATCTCGAAACTACAGAGAAATGTCCATTGCCTACCGAGATTAGAAAATACCTTTGTGGACTGATCTAGCTGGTAGTTGGAATTGGGTAGTGCACTATTTAATAAACATGTAGGTGTTTTAAAAGGACATTAAAACCTTAAAGGTCCCCTTGTTGTAAATCTTCCAGGTGTGCAAGGGTTTGACTGTATATGCGTGTACTTTAAACACACGGTGCTGGAGCATGAAAATATAACTGATGTCTCCTTGAACTTCTTCATTTTAAACCTACCGAATGATCATGTTTACAGCTGTTCAAGTTCACCTGAACGTGGAAAGTGAGATATCTGCTTGAATAAAACACCGAATCACTCCTTAAACGATAGTTAAACGATGGAGCATCGATTTACCCCTCTCTGTTCATTCAATTTATTAGTCTATTTTGTTTAAAAAATGTCAAAAAATAGAGTACTATGATTGAAGTATTAAGCCCCCTTACAACAAACAGAAATGAAATACAAACAAATCTAATGTGGCAAAGTCTGAAATGTGTTTGTATACAGACGTGTTGTATGCATTATATACACACATCTATAGCTGTACACAAAAAAAAGCCAAGTCAGCCTTGCTGTGTGGCCATGCAGTATTACGCTGTTATACACAGGTTGAGTGCTATTGCAGTGGTGTCTCGCAATCTTATTTGTTTATTTTTAGCTGTACGCTGAGTTGTATTGTGTTTTTTATTCCAACCCCCAACCTCCACCCCCCACACCCCCCACAACCCCCACCAACTGCACAACCTCCAACATGAAAATCAGAGTGGAGGATGTTAATAGCGCAGAGGCACATATTATTTGTCTGGTTTGGGGAGCAGATATTTTTTATACATGCGTCTTGTCCTTCCATTGTAGAACGTTCGGCCCTGTTTAATACGGTTGCTTGGGACGACAGTTTTTTTTCTTCCTTATCCTCAACCCCGAACAGTACCTTTGAAATAAATCACTTCCAACACATTTCTAGCTGCGAGCCCCGCGTAAATCTAATCGTAACTCCTGGTTCAAATAAATGCGCTTTCCTTACTGTCTGAAGTTGGCATTTAACACGCATCATTTTTAATGGTAATAATTAGTAACCCAAGCTCAGCGGGGACTGTAGCACGCAGACTAAACATCCATTTATTTACAAACAACTTGGAAAAATACTAGGACCCAGCCATTCACTAAATAACTTCGCTGCATGAAAGCGACAAAATCTACTGCAACACAAATGAATCGTGGTCTAAAATTATACCCAATTTCTAGCGGGGAAAAATGATGTTTAAATCCATTAGCCAAATTGTTAATTAATGTGGTTAATTGCGACTGTTAAATATTTATAAATGCCTTCACATCATATACATACAAGTAGACGCACGATGATTGCCTGCACACATTCTTGACACCATATACACTTTCAAATACAATCACGCACATGAACAGACTATTTCAAATCTGCTCTAAATAATTCATTATTCTCTTTAGGGATTTGAAATCAGGGATCTCTGGATACCAAATCTTTCCAGTGAATAACTTAAATGATATTTTCTCCGTGCGCCCAACACGGTGATATAAACGTGAATAATTTAACTTGGCCTAAATACCAGAAAGTAAACAATAAAGTCCTCTTATTTTTGTAAATGACTCGGTATGTCAATCAATAAAGAGCACAGCTTTATTAAAAGCTTCAAAATACATACATATATAATGTCGAAAAAACAAATATAGAAACATTACTATGCACATATTCTATTATATATGTGTGGAGGCTTGTGTCTGTACACAGCAGTGACTGTTAATAAGATCGACAGTCCACACAAAAAAAAAGTTTCATAATTTGCAACTTTTTTTTTCAGAAGCACTCGGTAAAGTTAAAGACAGTTCCTATTTTCCGTATAGTTTGAGAAAAATAAACTGACCAGAAAGATGAGATTTCAAAGTGAAAGTAGGAATGGGGCAAACTCACACGCATTCAGACTGAGCAGCGTGGTCATGTTAGTAGAGGCGGAAGCAGATAGCGAGCAAAATAAAAAAAAAATATTTTCCAACTACAGCAGGGCCCATCTTCTTAAAAAAAATACAGCAAGCTACTGAAACCTTGATAGATCTAAACTTCATACGGCCTCACAAAAACGTCTATACTCCTGGCACGTGAATATAATTTCATTTTACACACGCTCATACATGCTTTTCTTCCGGCTATGGGTTAAAGATTAATATTCAGCGCTGCTCCAAACATTTCGCACAACACGAACGACATAAAATACATTTTAGAGATTAAGATACTTTGGGTTTTTTTACGGCAACGCTTTATAAAACACCCTCCAATCCTCCAGACTAGCTCCCCTTAAAATACCGTTTTCACGATCTGGGATTGTTAAATTGAAAGTTTAAACTTGTCAGTTGTGTTTCTCCAACCCGATCCTGCACGATTCTCTCCCGCATTACATCGACATTGCTAATTCCCCGAAGCAGCCCCCAAAAATATGATGCCTGGTATCTCAGACACCCCGGTACGGCTCAGCTCCTAATGGTACTCAGTCTGTGAAACAGACTCCCCTCAGATATTTTGCCCCCCTTTCAAACAGAGACGGGTAGTTGGCCAGCAACTTTGAGCTCTTCAATGGTGCTCTAGCGCCCACTATTTAACACTGTGGAAAAAACTGTTTATACTTTGCAATGGCTCTCGTTATATTTTCTCTAACAAAAAGTTAAATATCTCTTCATCAACTTCGGTAACTTTCATTTTATTTGTTTTTTTTTGTCGGTGTTTCTTTCCAACTTCTCAACCTCTCGGGTCGAGACGCGGGGAGGGGGGTGGGTTGTATGGAAGTTTCTCTTGAAATGAGAGAAATAAACAAGGTATGGAAAAAAAACTTCTGCAAAGGGGGAGAGAGAAAAAGAGAGAGAGAGAGAGCTCCGCGCCGCTCTTGTGGCCAGAGCGTTCAACTCTGTAAGTTAGTGCGCTCCAGCCTTTTCGCGAGACCTTGAAGCACTTCATTCTAATCGTTCCCCACTGCAACGACACATCGTCTGGAGGAGAACATACATCCCTGACCGCTCTTCACAAAGACTATGAGTGTATAGCGGATCGTTTGGAGTTGTTGGGTTTTATGGAGGGGCTTTTTGCAAACCTATACAGAGGATCTTTTTTTGTAGAAAAAAAAAGGTGCGGAGAGATAGGAGAAGAAAATAGGGACCTACTTTTGGCCAGTTTTCTCGCTCTCGCCTTGGATCTCATGTTGTCTGTCGGCGTTGGTCGTGATTTCAGAGAATCGCACACGCTATCTCCCTGGCATTGTCAGTTTGGACACCTTCGCACATGCGCACAGAGCCTTCAATCTGACACCATCACGCAGGGAAAAGTTTGAATATATTCATCATTTGGCCGCGATCTGTCCTCAACTCCATCAGACCAATTATCTCTGCGTCCCTAACGCCATTTCACACATTATTCCTCGCTCACTGCGCTGCTCCCCTCCTCTAAAACCTCAGGAAGTTTCCACACTGTGAAGGCAGTGTACCTAAAAGAAATCACACTACCTTTTACTTTCTTTTAAAACATTAAAACTCACTTGCAGAGGATGTGCCGGAGAAACGTACTGAACAAAATGATCAGTTTGGGTAATTTTAATTCTGTGCACAAGTTGCTCATTGTTAAAATTGCATGTTAATTGACTTCACTGATTTACAGTTTTAACACAACTGACAGTGACGGGGGAACAGAATGGCAAGCTATCTTAACTCAATAATGCGCCCTAATAACCCCCATCAGTTATGACAGTATTAATTAAAGCTATCGATAGCTTGAGCTGATTGAATAGTTCTGTGTAACAGCAGTGATTTAACTCCCGGTGTTAGTATGTTGGAAGAATAAACGTGGGTTTAGGACTTACTAGGACGAATTGGCGCTGAGCACCGGACATTTAAACACCTTTTTCCCCCCCCTCTCGGTTTCTAAACTGCAACCTCAGCACCTTCTCCCCCTGCCGTAAGCCCAGCACAAAACTAATTTCATCTCATTTTACATTGTTCTAGTAGAAGAACAAAACGGCTATTTTATACTGTCTTCTCAGGCCGTTTGTCTTCACGTTCTTCCCTCAAAATGAATGGATCCTGTAGAATGTGTTTGTGTGTGTGTGTGTGTGTGTGTGTGAGAGAGAGAGAGAGAGAGAGAGAGAGAGAAAGAGGAGAGAGGGGGATTGGGAGAAAGAACCGGAGTCGGAACACAGTAAGTGCTACATATTCCCATCGTCTCTTCTGTGCAGCGTTTATGATTTATTTAACTAGGGAATATTTTAACAGACTGATCGAAATATGTTTTGAAAATCGTACTGCAGGTAAAAGGAGACGATTAAAAAAAAAATTCCTTGCTAAGCAACAGTGAAACAGATGAACTTGAAAATCGCGACGCAATGTGAATTATTTAGGTGTATTCCTGTTGGTTCAATTGATATGGTCCGTGAAAAGCAAGAGTCACTTGGGTTTTAAAAAATAGCAAACTGACAAAATCTATATTAATAATTCTGTCTTCTCTACCTTATTGGCAACATTCTTGGGCTATTGTTTGGGGGAGGAGGAGGGTGGGGGTAGTTATATTAATGTCATGTTTCTACCCCTCTGCCAGACTAAATATCTTTGAACTTCAGGGGAGAGACACATTGCGGGCTCGGCTGTACAATGGTCTCTGGGACGATTGCCACATTATCAGTGTTCACCTCTTCACTCTCTGACATGCGTTTCATAGGACGAGAAACTGTAACAGTCCTTTTTAAATTCAGTGCCTGAGAATCGCTAGAGTGTGTTTGCATCTGTTGTAACAGCGTCTCACGGCAAAAAGCTTCGTAGCGAATGTAAATGTAAATCGTAGAGCATGACACGCATACTCAAGGTGGGCTGTAGTTACATTGCTCAGTTGTTGGTTGGAGGATGAAGTTCTCAAAGCTGTCCTTCAGATATTTCATATTCTGTAGTAGCTTCGCCGTGCTTCTTTAGGTGAGATTGACTGTTACTATACAATGTTTTGTTTTGTAAAATTAGAAATGTTTCACAATGAGAAATTTTGAAGGAAAAAGACCTTTGCACAATAGACAGTGTTTGAGTACAGGTTTAATTAGAGGGTTTTTTTTACTGGCATCTAGGAAGGGGAATTAAGATTTTTTTAGGAAGGAGAAGAAACAAACTATGTTTTATAGCGATGGAGGTATTTCCAAGTGAACTGCACGATTGGGTGATTCACTCCAATTGATTGAAATAAAGTCGAAACTGCAAATCAGAATAAAATGTTAGTCTTCTAAAGTAGAATTGTGTTACAATCTCTGTAGAGTGCTGAATACCTCTGCAAAACCAATGAAGCGTCAGCACAGGCCAAAATTAAGCCAGCGAAATGCATCACTATAGATGGAATAAGTGCGGGGCAAATACTTCCGAGGGAAGGGTTAATTTTTGACGAGTAGACTCCTATTTTCAGATTTCTGGTGGTATATGTACAAAGTATTCTCCCTCTCTCTGACACAACAGCAACATCTTTCTCTGAATATTATTCACGATTTTGTAGGGCTGGGTATGATTGTTAAATTTAGCGCACTCTTTATCACTTAAACGAGGGATTGCGATTTGCAATTGTAGGCATGTCGCAAACACCACCAAACTTGCTCTCCAGCAGTCTGAGCCGCGCTGGAAAGGAACAGAGGCCTCTATGTTCTGGGCTCGAACATGCAATCGAATTAGTTTTTACACTGCAACACGTTTGAGTGATGGGAGACACAAATCGATTCATTGTTAGAACCCAAGAAAGATAACACGCATTAACCCAACTTTTTTGTGTATGATAACTTTCAATTTCAATTACTCGGAACATCAGGAGGGGCAGCAATTACAAAACGTCAATTCGTTCAGCAAAAACGCAAGAGAAAGTTGATGGATGTATTCAAAGTAACAATGCTTTTCTATAAATGTACATATATAAAAAGTTCAGGAATGAACAGGTAGCTGTAAATTATTTAATTAATGCGATCATAATATTGATGAAAGTTAGATGGATTCTGGTCAAAAATGTGTTGGAGAAAGCACTTGTTTAAATACTGTGATCTCAGTATAACCCGCACGTTATTTCTATCATAGCACATGGGGCTTATTGCTAGTACAGTATTTAAAATCATGATTATAAGCAAGGAATTCATCTCTATAGTAATATATGTGACAGCGTAATTTTGAATTCGCTAACATTAGCACAGGTATTTTCATTTTATTTACAACTCAAACTACAACCGTGCAATGATTCGTGACCATTTCTATCTTACTTTCAGTCAGAGACAATGTTTTGTCCGGCAGCATTAAGAGTTACGGCGCGTACAGGTCTGTAGAATGTAATGATATGCCCCTGAAATGTCCCTTCGTTTGAGATCTCAATTAATGGATTAACCCTTAATGTGGACAATTAAGTGCGTGCAGCTAGTAAGGGTACAGGTTACAAAATCTTGCTGCGGATGGACCTGTTCAGTTTGAAACCAAGCACCTCTCTGTGGAAGCAATATATCGGATGTATAGAACTCATGACCTCCTCACCTGACGCAGAAATCTGACTGTGTCGCTCGCCTCTTATATAAAATAGCTGGAGAATCTGTTTCAACTCTCTTGTGTTTTAATTGTGGACAAACCTGCGGAAGTAATATGACACGCTACTTACAGAGGCCCCTGGTAATATTAAAGTAATATTATCATCCGTGTTTGAATGTATTAATGAACACGTTACGTGCTACATGAGATAGAGAAAATAAGGTTTGTTTTTAGAAAGAAGGAAGGCCTATGCAGGTGTATTGCCAACATGGATTACATCGCTTGGGATCCTGACATCCCGTTTTATACAAACACGCAATGGAAATCTAATTGAGAATCAGTTCTCCTCTATAGCAACCAAATGGTCAGAATGGAACCCAAGCAATAACCGCACTTACAATTCAATTCATACATTCCCCTTAATTGCGAGGCAAACTTCATAGTTCAGAATTAAAAACAAAGCGTTGGGTATGAGAGATCTCTGTCGGGTTGAGATTATGGTTTGGTAATAAGGGTTGAGATTACAAGATTCTAATCGGGTTAGGGTTATTAATTAGAAAACCGTGTCTGACATTTATAAGTTCCACTCATACAGTCCCTAATTGTGTCAACTGGTAATTAAATTGCGTTAAACAGTGGATGATGAAGGTCTTCGGGGGATATTTTTCTGCTCCATTTGAACAGCCACGTTTTCAAAATGAAAGGCGTTTCGAAATAATGATGTACATATCTAAAATACTACAAATCGGTTTAGGTATAGAAATTGCCGCATTTACACTGGAGCTAGAGCATGAGCCGAAACGCTTGAATTCAGATCCGCTAGAAATTTGTCCTTCGCCTGTTCAGCTGTCAAATGCGACTTGCTACCGATTCTCTACACCAGTATTTCCATTTTACTAATTACTTTGTGTTTTTTTTTACTGCCTCGTTTAGAATTCAATTTATTTGCAAAAGTAAACTTTCCACACAGATATTTGCCAAAAGCATGCCTTGGCGATAAGGTATAACAAACGCATTCAATAGAGAAATGAAGAACATCCTTAGGAGATTCTGAAATAATACACATAATCCAACCTGCTGTAGACAAGGGATCACAATCTGAGAACAAAACGAGCTCAGATTGAAAAATGATTTCAAATTCAATTGAGTGAAATTACAGACAATCTGTCACCAGCCTAAAGCTCTGTGAAATCTCATTTTACTCATCCATATTAGTCCCCATGTTTCCACGACTAAACCTATTCCAATATCCCCAAGGGATGTGTGGTCATCCTGGAACAGTTTCCCCAACGTGATGCTATATCCATCTGAAGATTAAAACAGATATCAAATGGGAGCCAGACCATGCAGTGGAGATTAGTTGCCAGTAGTAGTCAGCGAGTGTGCCCCCACTCTTCCTCTTACCACAGATTCAGTTCCAAAATCCCGGGAAAACCTTGCAGTCCTTTGTTTCTCTTCCGCTCTCATAACCCCATGTTCTTTTTAATCCCCCCTGTCAACTTTCAATTACATTTGTGAACTATTTATTGATAAAGAAAGGTTCATTTTAAAAATGCCCGAATCAAAGGGATACACTAAACATAGGAACAAAAAAGAAACATAGGAATAGGAGTGAACCTTCAGCCACTGCTCTGCCATTCAACTTGTACCTCAACTCCATTTACCCATGAGTTCCTTATCCTCTTATCTAAAACATACCTAACAATCACAGTTTGAAATTTCCAATTGACTTGCTGCAAGGTTTCCTGAAGGGAAAAACAAAATCCATATTTATTTTGTGTAAAGATGGGATTATTTTCTCTCTAATATCAGCCTTGAAAGGCCTAACTTTTTTCAGGTTAGGAACTCATATTTTGGATTCTTGTAACAGAGGAAATAAGTTTTCTCCACTCATTCTATCAAATCCTTTACTTACATTAAATATATCATTTAGATCATCCCTTAATCTTGGTTTAAGGAATACAAGTCTAGCCTCTGTAATCTGTTCTACAATATACAGTTTTAAGCTCCAGTATAATTCTGGTGAATCTATCCCTAAGGGCATATTTTTCTTCCTGATGTGCAGTGTCAGAAGTAAATTCAATGTTTCACATGTATTCTAAACAAAGCTTTGCACAACTCCAACATAAGTTTTATCTCTTCATATTCTCGCTTATTTTATATAGAGTTTAAAATTCTATCACCCTTTTAAATAGCTTTAAGAAATTAATTTCTATACTTACATTTTTCTGCTACTGTGCAGTTCAATATTGAGAAAACACTTCATTCACTTTTATACATTGAACTCCAGCTGCCACTATTTTGCCCACTCACTTAAGCTATCAAAGCCACTTTTCAATTATATTCTTCCATTTGCGAAACAGAGAGAGGAACCAGGACATGTTGATAGACTTGGGCTGCAACCAATTCTATCCAAAGCTGAAAAGTCCCTGTTTTATTTGAAATTTGATACAGTTTCTTCTTTCACTTGTGCTGGCCTCAGCATGTTATTCTCATATTGTCAAACTGTGGGGATATAATCAAACATGAGTATCACAAGGCAATATTGGTTGAAAAGTAGTTGCCAATACTGGGGGGATAAGGGGGTGATGTTCAAATAAATTGTTTTTGATTGCGGCATTTTGGACTTGTGTAAACTACAAGATGTGAAATTGACAAATAATTTTTATTGACAACTTTAAAATTTATGTCCTACTCATTGAAATCTACATGTCATGTTTCAAAGAGCTTACAATTTTCGTGTCATAATTTGATCCCTTGTGCTTTATGATCTATTTTAGTTTCTTCAACATACTCTGTATGAAAAATATCACTTTCTGTAAGTAATTATGAAGTAAAATGTGATAGATTTAGAACCAGATTTCGTCCTAGGCCACATCATCTTATATCTACAGTTTTCAGGAAATTACTGCAATTTTTACAGTAAACATGGTGTGTTGATCCTGATATAAAGCAGTGATGATCAGTATAGTTAGAATATAGTTGTGTTCACTATTTGGAACAGTGAGTGCGTGCAATCTTTGTAAGTGGTCAGCAAAGATATAATGACCAATTTGGCTATGATCACTACAGGTAGAATGGTGAGCTTGGACGGCTATCAATAGTGAAATGGTCAGCTAAGGCATATTTTCTGGATCCCTGTTGATGGTGGTATGGTCAGCCAAAGCAAAATTTCTGGGTACGAGTTGATGGTGGAATGGGCAGATGATGCAGGATGTCTAGGTGTCCATTTAAGATGGGAGGTGAGTCAAAGCAAGGTTTTGGGATAGCCATTGGTGGTGTGGTTAGTATAAACACTGTTTGGATAGTCATTAATAGTGAGATGACCTGTGGAGGCAGTGTTTATGAATGACCAATAATGATTTGTATGGTTACAGGATGAAAGTGTGTGGATGACATTTGATTATAGGGTCGTCGGTAAATACAGGTATTATGAATGAAAACTAATGGCAAGACTGTCAGTAGATGTATAGTTTCTGAATGATAATTGTTATTGGGACGATCAGTTGATGAAAGGGCAATTTGGATTAATCTGGAAAAACAGAGCAAATGGCCACTAATTCAATAAATCCTGATCTGTAGACAAGGGATTCCAAATGATCACTTTTCAATAATATTTGAATTTAGGTGGGTGCCAGAAGAAACTCTATGAACACATCTGAAACGAGTTCAGAGCAATAGTGACACGTTTTGTGAATTCAATTAAAATCGTTCTCAATTGCCTTTATCTTTTTTCCATATCCTTAGTAACCTTGAACACTCCTGAAGTTTACTGAACCTGTTCAGGACGAATTTTGGGCGTTGCTGGTTTCTGGGAGACTTGCAGAACGTTACAGGTAAACCACAGCTATCACTGGCTAACAGCTAATCTCATCGAATTAGCAGGCTATGCACGTTTCCTCATTAACTGGTAGCTGTCAAGCCGTTATTTGTTTTCCAAAAATGTACGCCACATCCAATATTTAATAGCATATGTAAATCTCAATACTTTAAATATCTCTTAGATCCCTGAGTCTTCCAGATCTTAAATGCACATTTCCAGTTAATTCATGATTTCTACATTACCTATTTATTTTGTATATTTGAGTATAGTATCACTCTGTATTTTTGCTCTGTATAATTGAGCTACATTTAATAATAAATAGCATAAAATAGCTACATAAAATAAAATCATTTTATACTAAACACGTATTTCATACATGGGAAAAAAATCTCAGGTTACTTTAGAATGTAGTTGGTTACTATCTACGGACCTCATTGTAATAAAAATTCTGCCCAACTGGTTACCTTAGTGCTATTTGCAAACACCTCACAGCTATAAAAGCTCAGTTAGACCAACGTGTCACCTACCGCTCCCAACCCCAAACAGCATGAGTACGGTAGACGGACCAAGTCCGTCAAGAGCTGGATCATAGTGGATCACGCTCATATCCGGAGCTCCAACTAATGATGCAGGGAGGGATTGTGGAGGAGTTTAGAGTGTAATTATTAGCCATTAATTGGGTTCAGGACCTTTGTGGTTGTGGTAAATGAGAAGTCTGACCGCTAATCCCAATCAGGATATACAGCTGGGGGCTAGAGAGAGCGGGACTGGTTGGACTCAGCCTGCAAAACTCCAGGGGGTCAAGCACACAGATAACAGCCACATCTAAGCCGTAAACCAGAACAAAATGGCAAAGGGGGCATGAGAAAACACAAGCTATTCGACATATTTTGATCTGTATTTCAATGGGGCAAACTTTATTTGAGGGGAATGTAATGATTAGGTATAGCTTTATGGGTGAGACGGGATAGCAGGCGCCAGAGATGCAATAAATGGTCAACTATTTACAGTACGTTCACCTGGTTCTGTTTTACCTAAACTCCGTTATAGGTTTTGCAAAACAATTAATTACAACATAGATGGCAAAATGATCGTGGAAGGCAGGAGCAGAGAATCAATACAAACTGTTACACACTCGCACTGGTGACTCTCAAAGCCCCCAGATCTATCTCCCCATTACTGATGGGTTATTGAATGCTGTAATTGTGAACAAATATACTCGATACTCAGGAGGTTCGTTTACTATGTAGTTGATTATTTTCAGATTAATCCTTACTTTGCATTTCCTTTGAATGTCAGTCATTATAAAGCTCAACAAATGGGTTAGTATTGTCAGGATTTAAAATCCCATTGGTTACAATGGACCATATATCACGTTCCATTTATAAAATGTGCTTTTAAAAAAAAATCTTGCCAGCGAAAATAAGGGAAGGTGGAATACAATGTTGTTCCAGTGTTGCTAGTTCATTGGAATTAAGTAGATCCACTTTGAAATGCAGCAGCTCTGGACTTTACGAAATTAAGACTCAATTCTTCAGTTTTATTTGCACCGGACTTGAGTTGTTCGCTCTTGGAAAGACACTGAATGGATTCTGAGTAAGATACCAAAGATTCATTTAATTTCGCAGAAAGTACTTTCGAAAGGAAATAAATGATAGTCCATGATAGCAACATATCCAAATTCTTCCTTACATATTTTAAACTTAATTTTTTTTATATTCCTGCCGGCACGCATTGGAGATTACAGCTCTCCGCTGAGTAGTGAAGGTGTCACTTCTGATAAAATTCACTACTAAAAAGAAGTTCATATTTTGTTCCAAATTCAGTGTAATTCTGGTGATACATTGTTATTAAGACTATCGAGACAAACTGGAGTCCCATTAACATGATCAATGTACATTTAAAATGGACAGGTATCCCTAATACAATTAAACGTTTAAATAATCGGTTGTTTTCTGGAATAATAAAAAGGAGTTGCGAATTATATGCACATTATATGTTGTGAAACAGGGCAATGATCTCTAATACGCAATGACTATTTTAAAGTTGATGTGGAGCAGATCAATCTGGCTTGTTTTTTTTTTGCCTATGTCAGAAAATAAAGTCTACGGCAAGTGATTAAGACTCTGGATATACAACAAAATGTACGATAAAATATTATTAAAATATAGCGCCTCAAAGTGAAATGTTCTAAGATTCTTCACAGAAGTCGTGAAAGAAAATTTGGCACTGAGCAACATGAGATTTTAGGGTAGCTGATATGAGCTTTGATTAAAGAGGTGGGTTTTAAGGAACCTGTTAGAGGCAGAGAGCAGACTGAGGAAGGGAGATCCCAGAGCCTAGGAGCCTGGTAACTGAAAGCGTGACTGCTGACGCTGGAGTACTTTAATCGAGAGGTCAGACTGACAAGATCGCAGATACTTTGGAGGGTTTTAGGGCTGGAGAACAGTGCAAGATAGGGAGGAACAAGGCGGTAGTAGAATTACCTCACACTGCAACATCCAATATGGGGTAGGGGATATGTGGTAATCACATTTAAGCAGTGATGGATTGCTGCCAGCGGCTCAAGGCTCTTAGTTCTGAAGTCTCAGTAGTATTCCCCTTCCAATGTTCTTTCACTTGCATCGCTCACCCTATCACAGTGTTGCAAACTTGTTCAATCCGAAAGCACCCTCGCCCTAGTGGAGAAGGCGTCGTTCACACTGGTCACCAAAACTGATTCTGTTGAAGAGTTCGAGCACTTAAGAGCAGGCATCCCTTCCCTACCGGGTACACAATCTACTGGATAGCGCCTGGCTCGAGACTAGGGAGTGGAATGTCGTGTGTGTTGGCGCCGCCTTTGATATAAAAAAAAGCCTCAGGCATCTCAATGAAATGTGCCTCAGCATTTATTTGAGTTTACCAACCTAATCACCGTGGTCCACGCCACCTAGCTCTGGACCACACCAGGCTTTTATTTACACCAGGACTTTGTGCCTTTCCAGTATTTAACTGATTCTCGAATGTTTCCGGAAACACACATTTCATAGCTGGAAAATAAAAGGGGAAGACATAAACGGATAGAGAAACGCACAGGGAGAAAACAAAGGGAACACTCACGTACCTAAATTCACATAAAAATAAAATTATCTATGGATTAACAGAGGGAAAGGCACACGGAAAGGGGCAGAGCTGGAGGTGCAGGCATAAAGACGGAGCGACACGACCAAGTGCCATAGCGAGATGAGCTCTTTGCTGCCTTTGACAGAGAGTGTTCACATATTGTTTATTCCCTCGGATGGATTATAAGTTTTCGCTCAAATACGTTCGAGCGAGAGGTCCTGAGACGATTTCAGAATTTTTGAAAACGACAACCGTTCTCAGATCGCCTCCAAAAGCCGTCCCTGAACTTTGGTTTTAACAGAAGCACGTTTCCTCGCGTGGGATTGAAATATTTTGGATGTAAACAGTCAGATTTAAACAATTCTAGAATGTTTTATTGTGAAGTTTGTGCTATTTCCCCGAAGTTGTTAAATGCACACGTATTTCCCCCGTTTGCCTCTTGTTTCCCTGAAGTTAGATTAACTATCTGGGAAACAACTGAGCCCAGGACTACACAGTGGTGTTACCTTCTCCACCCCGATCCCTAATTGTATTTGTCGTCAAATGGCTTGATGTGAAAAAGACATTTTAAATAACTGCAAGCTGGTGTTGAACTTTTGAGTAATGCTTTTACAAAAAAAAATTACGAAGATCTGTCTCTAGTCACTTTTTAAGATCTGGATGTACATTTATGAAGGGAGCACTTTAGAGACATGTTTTCTTTATCATACTTGGACGCGGCCACCGTTGTAAACGCATCAAATCCTGTAGTGGGAGGATTCTGAAAGCCCCCTTTTCGGAGGTGTTTACCAGCAGCTATCATTAACCAGGCTGCATCTCCGTCAATGTTTTTGTGCTACTTCTGTTTTCGCTTGGGGATTGTGACCAAGGCATAACTGTTAACAATGCTGATGGATTCTTCTACATGCAATTGTGTGTGTTTGCGTGTGTGTGTGTGTGTGTGTGTGTGTATGTGGTATATGCACATACATGTATGTAAATGTGTGTGTAGGAAGCGATATTTGATCTGGACTTTTGTGTTTAAGCGATCGTTTCAACTGTGACAGTATAAGCATGTTTGTGTTTGAAACCTTTTTTTCCCTTAAAGACACAACATATTTGCTGATCAAGATTAGAATGTATGTAAAGACTGCACATCTTCTTCCGTTTTACAAGCATCGCATTTCCTCACCTTTTAACGATTGCAGACCACAAATATCGAAACAAATATGTCATATGTTATGTGATTATTTGACTAAATTAATATGATACATCACTATTGGGTTGCACTTTGCCACGTAGTAATATATGTTAATTTTACAGCTTTGACTATTATATTTTTTTTCTGGTTGCATTTGCAGGAAACATTTCGGAAATTTGAAATTACATTAATATTTCAATGTGGATAAAAGGCAATGAACCGTAAAGGTGTGTGTGTGTGTCAGGAGAGTTTGTCCCCTGTATTAAACGCGAGCTTTAAACCGTTACTAATACTGCAGATCCAGAGATGGAGAAAGTGGGTGACTGTTACCACTTTAAGATCCATGTATTGGCGGTATAGGCAGCTCACCATTGCAATCCCTGTTTCACTTCATTGCACTGAAGTCATTAATCCATATGACTAAAACAACGAAGCTGCACGTCTCCAAAGCGTGCAATAAAAATGCGCGAATGCAGAGCCCCGGGGCAAGAAGAAAATTACCAGAAGTAGAAGTGACCTTAGGATGATGTAATCAATCAAACGACCCGTAGGGACACGTATCACAGTCTTAATCTTTCAAGGGAGGCTAGATGAGAAAGTCATGTGGTCTTTTTTTTAAAAATACCTCTATTTACCCCTTTAAAATATTGTTACCTCGGGCACGGGAGTTAGAGAATAGCTGGGGAGAGCTGCATAAATCTTTTATGAAAGAATAATATTGGAGTGAATAA